GGTGAGGTGAGCACACAGAGCCTGAGAGCTGGTTCGAACTTTTAACACAAGAAGTCAAAACCAGGAGGCCCAACATGCAGAGGGACAAATTCATTTAGTCTGTCCTTTAGCCTGTGGGAAATGAGCATTGGGGAAAGGCCTTTCCAATTTCCTCTGGCATCTTGTTCAGAGGGAGTGCAGATCCCTGTAAGTCCTGGCATCCAGAGCAGCCCAACGGGCAGCTCAGCAGAGGGTGGATTGAAGCACTAGTACCCACTCATTTCATCCTGCTGTACACAAGAGCTATCTGCAGCCCTGTTTTGCTCTGCTCTTGAGTGGCCCAGAAGGCATTAGGTTAGGTTTCTCCTCTTGTAATCTTTCCCTGCAAAGCCTTGGGTCTTCACAAACACTGCCACTTGCTATACACATGCACATATAACCCTTTGAGTCACTGTGTTCCTAGAGACAAGCTAAAGGAAACCTAAGTCTAGTGGGTTTTAGCTAACTAGACATTTTTCTGATTATTACCAGGTGCTAAAATGGAAAATAAACTTTCTTTCAGTGATGCATGAACTTGCTTCTACATTGGTTAATTGGTCTGTTCATAGACACAGATAGCATCTTGATTCAGAACTTCAAGGAAACTGTGATTTACTGTTGTGTTTTGAATTAATGTAATTGGAGCAAGTCAGACATACTAGAACTGAAAGTGAAAGCCAATCCTCCCTCTAAAATGTATTATCTGTACTTCATATAAAAGCATCTTTATCAACCTGAACACAGGCCATACACTACTCCAGTTTGTCCAGCCTAATTGTTATGCTATTGTCATACTTGTCACAGTGAGGTCTGATTGCTTTGTTCCTCAGACTGTTTTCAAATACCAAATACATTATTAAATTCTCCATCTTCACATACCCCAGTTATAATGTCAACAGAAAAATTTTGCCTAGGGAAACAAGATATAATGATTGATGGGGAGAAAAAAGGGTACCTAAGCAAAAAAATAGTGTTGTCCTCAAAAATGTGATTATAGAGATTTAATTTCCAGTTCTTTACAAGTGAATGGAAATTAATTGGCCTTTTCTACCTATTTCGTTTCAACTAATATTTCATGAATAAGGGTTAAACTAAAAATAACAGATGCCAAATAACATATTGTCCATAACTGCAAGGTTAAGAAGGCATAATACACAGCTGCTCAAGCTCTCTCTGCCAGCTAGAGACCAGTGAAGGTCTTGACCACTTTCTCTTGGATGAGTCCTAACCTGACATCTCTAATTCGGCCTTCTATTCTTCCTGTGTCCATATAGAGATAGTTTAGTAATAGTACAGAGAAGCTACTGTTAAGCCACATGGCTCCCAAATTTGTTTTGCTGCAAGACAATGTCATGGTAAGACTCAAAAATGAGATGGGTGCCCATGTCTCCTCAGTTTATGCTAATTTGTGCAAACTGAGTTCTGATGACTGGCTGAAAAGCTGTGTCCGTTATGATGCACTGCTTAGTGAGCAGACCTAGTTTAGGAGTTTATGACAGTTCAATGGAATTAAATGAAGTTTTATTTTGTGCATTCTCTGCATTTGGGAGGGCATTCTAATGAAGATGGCTAAAAGCTTTAGAGGTGCTTAGAAGAAGAACATTGCTATGTAAATGGTTTATCTGATTTTCTGAAAGTCCTTTGTCTTTAGCAGTTTTCTCAGGAGTGGAGAGGATTTTTAAAACTGGTGTGTCAGTGAAACTTTTTGTCTGAGTGGGGTCAGTATAGCTTGGGACAATAGGGTGCTGCATCTGTGGACCACAACAGCTTCTGAAAGCTACAGGAACATTAGTGTTGGTAAAGAAGTGGAAAAGAATTTGGATGTGACATCTACCCACTGACACTAAATACAACCTTCTGGTAAACATTAAAACTTCAAGGGTTTTGTGGCTGACGATTATGTTGAACTCTAGGACATCCAGTGAGACAGAAGGGTGGAAAACATAAACATGAAAAGAAAGATTTTGGTGACAAATGTTTTCTGCCTGGTTCAAGGGTTTGCAATTTAATTAAGTTGAAATATTCATAAGACTGAGATAGCTTAATAACTAGTGTACCAAAGAAGGGGACAAGAAACTATGGATTACTCCAGCAGAGTACTTAATTCTAAAACACTGTACTCTGAGTGAAGGACAAAAAGCAGATGCTGCTTCCTTGACTTTTCCATCTTATTTCTTATGCTTTAGATAGGATAATTAGCATCCTCTGCACTATGGGTTTTGCTTTAGATAGTTGAGCACTGGAATCTGGCCATAACTATCAGAAGGATTTCACACAGGGCACCAAACAGCTAGAAAATAATACCAGCTCTCAGTCCCTATCAGTGTGGGATGGATTTGACCCAACAGTACTTGGAAGGCTCAGTATCTCTTTGCCACACAATAAGCTCTAGGATCTACTCTATCCTTCCTCCATACACAAAGAGCAAAGCCTTTAGTTTCTGAGCACAGTAGCAGACCAGGACAAGCAAGTTTGTAAAGCAGGTCATAAACTGCTCTATCCAAGTATCTCTTGCACTATCACCAGTATCTTCCAGCCTGAAGTACTGTTCTCAGCTTTCAGTTCACACCTAAATACCAGCTCATCCAGTCATACAGCATATGGAAGAAGTTCCACTCTAGAGCAGAAGGTTTTGATTATGTCTTAGTAAACAGGTTTGGGAATTACTTGTGTTGAAGCTTAAAGCAGCTTCCATGTGTTCCTGGAGTACTTTCACCACTGCTCAGTGAGGTGGATAGCCATCCCCTTATCTATGTGACAGATGGGCAGACTGATGTGTTACTTAACTAGTTCAGGACCACTGGAAAGCAGAGGAGACCCAAACCCCTTGTTCTAAATCAGTAAAACCATTATGTGTTTTGTAAAAACAAACATTAGCCAGTCCTGGACGTGATCACTTGTTCTATTAGCTTAACTTTTAGCTCTTACAAATCTTTTTCAAGCCCGTCACTATTTCTTTTAAACAAAGAAAAAAAATCAAACACCTTAGAAAACATTCTGCAAGGAGAGTAAGAGGCATTTAAGCCTGTTTAAAACTCAATCCAAACAGAGACAGACCTGTTGCCAGTGAACGGAGGGGGGGAAACTTGGCAGCTTTGCTTAAAGCTTCCCACACAGACACTGGAGACGAAAGAAAACAAAAAAAGAGTAGTCCCCTAGGGCCCTGCCACTCCCAGGACAAAACCAGTCCCTTCCCTGCTTTTCCTTTAGTTCTTAGACACACGCACATGCTTTCTTCTCTTAGTGCCATTAGCTACAGCAACAGCCAATTGAGCCCTACAGGCCTGGAAAATAGACAGGAAATGAAGAGTTAAAAAAAAAAAAAAAAGAGAAAAACCAGAGAACTTGGAGGCAAGCCAGCGTCCCCGAATGACTCCACTCGGCCGGCAGCCCCGAGCGACACTCCCGTCCTGCCCTCCCTCCTCTCCCGCAGGATGGGCATGCCCAGCCCTCCCTGCATCGGGGACAGGAGTTCCCTGCTCGGTGTGCGAGCCTAGAAACAGCGCTAAATTTATCCTTCCCTTTGAGACAACGGCAAACGCCAGCAATAAGAATGCAAAAGAACTGCAAATGAATGCAGACAATTCCCTGCAAGCTATTGTGGAAGCACCTTTTCTGTCTCCCTCCCAAGAAGGAAAAAAAAAAAAGCAGTTACACAGTGCAAAGCAGGACAAGGCTGCCTGGAGTGCCAGGAACACGCTGTTCCTTTGGCTGTGTGCCACGGGGAATTGTCCATCCATATGCTCAGACTTGATGGGGCTTTCTTTTCTCCCACGTAGAGCAAAATATACCCTCAAATTAGAATGGCTCTCAGGAAGGGAAGAGAAAAAGCTGAAGGCACATTGAAGTTACTGCCAGCGTGGGTGAGGCTGACACCTCTGAGCTAAAACCCTTCAAGAGCTGCTTAATCATGTTTAGTTCTGAGGATCTCTTTCTTACTGCTCTTTGTTAGGGAAGTGACCATACATCTTAGTAAACTAATTTGCTGTCTGAAATTACTCGGTGGAACAGCTTGCACAGCCTGCTCTAGTTGGTGTGGTGTCTTGACATATGTGCTGTGACTGGTGCCTTCAGCAGAGATTGGTCTCAATTTCTGTGTCCCCTGTGTGCCTGGAAGTGGTCCTGCTCCCCAGCAGCAGGCAGAGGCATGAGGTGTGGCAAGTCATGGGGCCTATTTCAAGATGGCCTTCCTAATACTTTCAGGGCAACTTTCACAGCGCGTGCAAGACTTCCATATTTTTCTCTCTGTGCGTCTCGTAAATCACAATAGCAATAAAAAAATGGTCAGATAAGTCTTCACCGAGAAGTAAACACTGAACACTGATGAGTACAAGTGAGTGGTTGCATTCAAATGGGTTTTTTTGTTTTGAAATTGGTTTTACCAGCTGCCAAAAGCTTTTTAGAGACTGCCCATGTTCCCCTCTCTCCTCACGTTAAGTGTCTCCTTGTGACTCGTGTTCAACCTCTCATCTGCCTTCCTGCCTACTCTAGCTTTCCCAAAGTGTCTGCTAAAGAAAGAAACAGACACACAGCCATTTAGGTGCCTCTAGAACATTTAATTTTAAGATACCAAGAGTATTGATGCTTGCGTGGGAAATGATAAGCTGGAGTAATGACAGTGACAAGCACATGGGGTAGGAAAAAAAGGGGAGGTAAGAAGTATTGGAAAGGGAAGTAGAAGACACACAGAACAAGAAGACTAGCAGCTAAAAATTACAGCTTGGTATAATCCACACAGATGAACCTGCATGCCATTCCCTGTGACATTAATAAAAAAGGGCAACATTAGCTTTGAATCTATGCCCAGTAAGGGTTTATTCCCAGAGGGTTTTTGGTTTTTTGTTGTTGTTGTTTGGTTTTCCCGAGCTTGAGTTCTGAGAGGTGAAACCATAACAGTGGCCAAATACAAGTTTGTTTGGTTTTGTTTTTCATTTTAATTACCAAGCTGTAACAAATAAATCTCTGGCTGCATTGTAACTAACCTGTGTGGGTCCTTAGATGAGCTTTAAGATGGGAAGATTTGCCATAAACTTTTTCACACCCCACATAGTGGCATTTGTGCTTTTTCTGGGGTGATCCAGGGTCAGTCCAGCTTCTCACGCGTTTGTTCTTTTGTCTGGGGCTTGGCTCAGTTACTGCAGCCAGGCTAGTAGGTGTGGCTGCTCTTTCTCCTCCACGTTTACCAGCCGAAGACACACTTTCTTCCCCAAACTCCTCAGGAGCGATAGAAATGCGTATTTGTTCTGTGATATCAAGGGTCTCTGTTTTTTCTGTCCTTAAAGCAGGTGAGTTTGGGACATGCTGGTTCAGATCTGCTAAAATGCTAGCTACTACAAGTATTGATGATCCATTGTCTTTCCCGGTTTCTCTGAGTTCCCGCTTATCTTCTCCATGGGATGAAGGAAGTATTGCTGCATCAGGTTGGGGATCAGGCTCCCCTTTGGGACTATGGATAACAGCACGACTTGACATAGAAACAAGGCACTCTGCTGCAAAATGATCCACATATGCTGCCGCTGCCATTTTTCATAAGTTTAAAAAGAAATCCAAACAGAAGAGGACAAAAAAAAAAACACCACCAAAAAAC